ACGAATGCTACTGAAGCCAGAGAGGCAGCTCCCACACTTGGACTCTACCTATCGACCCATCAACTCATGAACCGGGGACCAACGGCTTTACTTCCCTTCCGAAGTTGAATAACCCCTATCAAATAGAATAAATACTAGACTGTCCATAAAAGCATACCTATCAGAAAAAACGCTATTGAAAATTTTATTTCTCCGTAGGCTCTTATGGATGGGACAACCTAGTTTTGGCGTTTTCCGCGAAATTTTCTGAACAAAACATGTAACGTCACAGTGTAAAATGCAGGTAGTTTACAATCGATTCTAATGGATAACTTATTTCCATATCCACATCGTAAACATTTACACTACCGTAACATTACCAGAGCCTATTTAAGTGTACTATGTTAATAGGTTCTCCTAATCCATGTGAAAAAAAAATCTAATCAAACAGCAGATCGAATAACTGCGGTCACAGAAAAATAATGTGTGAGAATCCATGTGTGGGGACTGCGGTTTTCTCTCTTCATGTCTGTTACTTTTTCTACGCTGGTAACAGGTAACGTCTGTTTTGATAAAACTTAGAAGAAAATGCACTCCCCGTTAACACTCAGGTGATACTGAGATTAGCACAACATTTAGCAGATACTGTACATATAAGTGCCTAACGAATAACATGCTACAATTTTGAGCTCTGAGAGACGTCCCGGATTTATTTTAAGACACAAAGCGACCAGTGAATTACCTAAATGATCTACCTACTGATTTAGAATTCTGCTCATAATCGTATATAGGTCCGATCTTTGCTTAATTTCCTATTCATATGGGACAGCTATGCTATTATCGGCAGAATAGGTTTCCATCTTTCAAGTATGAAACATATGTTTCAACTCAGAAGCATGGACGAACAGCTAAGCTATTCTATGCTACTGTTCGACCTTGTTGCAGTTTACGAATTACTCTACGGAAGTCGGATAAGAACAGTAATATAAGTATCAAAAAATAGTGACTCACCACCGACGTCTGACTGAGAGCCATTATTTGGATAGACGCTTACTTCTGGTGCTCCAAATAGTGTCGTCTGCCGTCCAGAACGACAGAGAAGTTCCGCAGAATGAAGTGCGGCGACTAGATTGTTCCTTTTAGTGGCCTTCACGGAAGTTGACCTGCTGCTTTCGGGAACGGCTAAATGCTACCGTCTGTCAATATGGTTTTACGGCCGTTCGTTTCCCGATTTTAAGCTGATTTTAAGATGATTCCGTGAAATACTGATAGAATGGTTTTTTGACTTGCCAACTGAACGGAACTATGAGCAGAGGTATACAGTGGGAAGAAACGTAGCGAGACGAAAGATGGAAAATATTCACACAAGAGATTTTTCACTTCGTAACTTCTCCGGAGTCAGCGGATGGGATATACCCCCCTATTCTGCGAGTCACGTGACTCTCTCTCACCGGTGAGGTGACAAAAGTCACCTCGTGTGAGGTGACTCTCCATTTGATTTGCATGGAGAGTCACCTCACACGAGGTGACAATTGTCACCTCACCGGTGACAGAGAGTCACGTGACTCGCAGAATAAGGGGGATAGTTAAGATTCGAAACGCGTGTGCTTCCAGCGACTTAAGGCAGCGGAATGTGCCACACTATTTCGACACTGCCCACGGATTCTTGACGCGAGAAGACGGAACTTCTACGCAGGATTCGGAAGATATTCACTTTTTTGTTATAATTTTTTTTTTCCTGAAATTAATATTTTCGCGAAACACATACGCGCAGCGAGACGAGCCGATGGAGAATCGCAAGTGCTGTGATCAATGTGATTGATGAGGCAGCAGGAAACAAGTCAGCTCTTTCATTATCACAACGTTCTTATGCATAATCTAGTGTGACGTAACGTTGAATCATGCGTAAGAACGAAAGAGTCGACTACATTCCTTCTGCCGCACCTATAGTAACGCACACGGCTCCCGCACTGACTATTTCTTACTTTCTCACTCTAATCAAAATTTCCTTCGATGAGTGAGAAAACAGCACCCCGTCAATGCGAGCGAGAACGCGAGTTGCCAGATCATTGCACACAAAACCAACTTGAATTAATTCAAAACAAAAATACTAGCGAACCTGGCGGTGAGGAGCGGAAGGTGGACTAGAATTCTATTACAGAGAACCACATTATTTTAATTAATTTCTTCGGAGAAAGTCGTCTGTAACTTCGTTTGTGTTATAACTCTATAGTCTGAAAGTACTATTAGCAACAATCAATACGAAACTAACGATTTTAAATTGGCTCACCACTTTAGTAGCCTATTGGTCCCAAGCAAACGATTAACGTACCCTATTCTAGTTGAAATTCTATTACTACACTATGTTTGTTTTGATTCGCTATGAAAGTGTGACAGATAACATCAGGGGTGTGTGGATTCATGCAGAACATGCAGGGGTGAGTGAAATAGCTTGGGACTGCTTGGGACCGTTGTTCTGGTACTGAGTGAGCCAAAAATAATAATGATTTTCTTCGGGACCCACACGAAACGAAAATCAATTAGTTAATTCATGTGTTTCACTTATACATTTTTGCCAAAGCATCAGCCTTATACATTCCATAAGACGAACCACATAGGCCCTATTAGAATGCATAAAAGGTATGTGTGACCGTTTATACATTTAATTTGACACATGATTTTTATTAACTTTTTGCAAGGCGTCTGCTTATTAGTTGACTTATATATTTTATGAATAATCAGCAATGGAAATTTGCCAAAAAGGTATAAAGAGATTTCTTTCCGTGCAGTGGTCTTAGAGTTACCTCTATGCTATTAGTTTCTATTGGATTCGCCTATGGTAAAAGGTAAGCGTAAAATTTATGAGACCAGACAATACAACTTGTTATCACCGACAAACCGACATGAATGACCATACACAGAAAAAAATGTTGTTGAATATTACATCCAAACTGCTGCAACCAGGTCAATCCATCGGTTGTGTAATATAACGTTGTACCAACAATCAATACGCAACTAACGATTTTAAATTGGCTCACTGCTTGACTAGCCTATTGGTCCCAAGCAAACGATTAACGTACCCCATTCTAGTCGAAATTCTAGTACTACGCAATGTTTGTTTTGATTAGCTATGAATGTTTGACAGATAAAATGAGGGGTTAGTGGATTTTCCCATGTTTCGAGGGGTGAATCGATTAGCTTGGGACCGAAGAGAGTACCAGCAACAATCAATACGAAACTAACGATTTTAAATTGGCTCACCACTTTAGTAGCCTATTGGTCCCAAGCAAACGATTAACGTACCCTATTCTAGTTGAAATTCTATTACTACACTATTTTTGTTTTGATTCGCTTTGAAAGTTTGACAGATAACATCAGGGGTGTGTGGATTCATGCAGAACATGCAGGGGTGAGTGAAATAGCTTGGGACTGCTTGGGACCGTTGTTCTGGTACTGAGTGAGCCAAAAATAATAATGATTTTCTTCGGGACCCAGTGGTCTTAGAGTTACCTCTATGGTACCAGAGCTGAGCCAAAAAGTTGAGCACGTTTCTTCGGGACCTGCTGGTCTTAGAGTTACCTCTATGGTTGTACGATGTACATCGATTTTGCGAACAAAATTACATCCATTGATGTATCTGCTTTTTGCTATTACATCATTATTTCATATATCACCTTGAATTACATTGATCGATATTACATTTTTTTTTGCTGTGCACAAAGTAAATACCATCAAATTTCTGATCATAGCACAAAACTGACATCTGCCGCCGTTGTCGCGAAAAATGTGTATCCTATCCACGAACACGCATGCAAAACATATGAGATGGTTCGTGTCTAATCTATTCCAGTCTAATTATTTTTTAAATAGATAAAAAAAATTCTATGGTTTTGACAGATGGGATCGCTGCACATTTGAATCCACCGTTACACTGAGGCAAATAGACTTAAGAATTTTATAAGGCTCGACTTATGAACGACACATATGAATTTCATAAGCGCGACTTATGAATTATTTTCGTCTAACATGAGGTAGCTCTTATACGGCTATAACCATTTAAATTTGCAAGCGTTGAGACGACAAGTAGGCTTACTCAGATCGGGCTTTTCCGCTGCCGCTGCCGCTGCTGCTGCCGTTCCGCTTCCGCTGTCATTGCGTTTGGGCAGTTTCATGTCGGTTTGTCGGCGTTGTTATATCAGGCCTAACATTTGATAACGGCACAAAAGCATTTGTAAACAAACTTTCTAAGGCCCTTTACAAGCGAACCAAAGTACGCCTACGCAAACCAATACCACTTTGGTAAAGGAGACAGTTGCCGCTATCCGATGATGTTATTGGTTTGCGTGCGCGTACTTCGCGTGTAAAGGGCCTTAAAAAGTTTGTTTACAAATGCTTTTGTGCCGTTATCAAATGTTATGCCTGATATGTTTTTAGAGTCGGTACAGTTTTAACAAAACTGAATCGTTTTCTTCACAGCTTTGAGTAACCTCAAACCAAGGGGGGAGGCTAGGGGGGAGGTGGCTGTCAAATACGAACAATCGTCGCCTACCTCGCATAGCTGGTTCCAAACGTAAACAAGCCATAAGAATCCTACAGCGTTTGTTTACGTTTGGAACCAGTTTCATACAAGAATGATCAGTAGGCTGATTTGACAACACGTCCCCAACCCCCCCCCCCCCAGCCTCAAACGAGCGGATATTTCAGTGCCAATATTTCAAAGGGGCGTAATTGCATTTGTAAACAATGGCTTTGGCCGTCGATTTCTCGCGAATAGAAGCTCACCCATGAAAAATAATGACACCAACTGGTAGAGGAATGTTTCTTCTACCAGCTAGCATTGATATTTTGGAGGGGTGAGATTTCATTCGCGAGAAATTGACGGCTAAAGCCATTGTTTACAAAAGCAATTACGCCCCTTTGAAATGTTGGCACTGATTTATGTTAAATAACTTTTGTGAACGCACTCCGTGTGCGGTAAAATGGTTCATCTGTCATTTTTTGACGTCGATTGCGTCACGGATGCGGTCTCATTTTCACGCACGATAGCGATGGTCGGACGAATAGTTTCAAAATATTGGATTATTTAATCGCAATTTAGTGTTTCAACCAAGAAAAAAATCCATCCAAAATGTCCGGTATCACCAGTGCCGCCGGATTACTGGCATCCAAGTGCATCCTGAACGCTCAGCAACAGCCTACGCGGATGCTACTACAGTACACAACAGTGCGCCACCACCGGAAGCCCCGCTGGCTTGGTACTGCCAAAAGCAAACTGTTTCGCGTACCGGAGCGGAAACAACAGATAGCGGACGAAGTAGCCGAACTGAAGCGGCTGCACAACAACTATCACACTCAGATGAAGGCGGTACGTCGGTTTCTGATGGACGAGGTCGAAGCTTCGAAGCTGGTGTCCCGAGCAGGTGTGGTTATTCAAACACCAGAAGAGGAAGCTGCAGAATGGGAAGAGGTTCAGCGGATCAACGAAGATTGGAACCGAAAGGTGGGTGAGGTGCGTGACAAGCGTTTGGCTGAGGAACGGGAACAGCGGAGGAATTATATCCTGGAGAGGTTGGTAGCCAAGGAACAGCGGGAGCAGGAAAATCGCGAACGAGTGGAAGAACGGGTTCGTCTGGAGAAGGAACTGTCCAAGGCATACATTACCAGGGATAATATTGAAAAGGCGATCGAAATGGCTTTGGTGCAACCGATAAGCTATAATTTTGCAATCGATTTGAATGGAAATATTCACCGGACCGAGGATCGTCAGAGCCAGGAGACGAAAAATGAATAGGTTGGACGAGGAGGGTCGTTGTTACAGTCGAGTTAAATAAAGTCATATGCTAGAAAAGGTATTGGCTTTTAACAATTTACTTGTGAATATCACTTTTCGAACAAATGTTCCCAATTGGGTGAGGCATTTAGCTTGGATTTGATAGCGGCCAGGTTGACGATGTTCCCGCTGCGTTCCTCCGTGTTGGTACTGACCGATACTAGCTCCTGTAGGAATCCACTGTCCATGCCCATGGTCAGATCGAATACCGTACTCCCCAGAAGCAGCTTGACTTTACCCGATCGATATCGAAGTACTTTGCCTATGTATCCTTCTTCCAGTTCCCGCACTGTGCAGCGAGGTGGTTCCGCCTTGGGTTCTTCTTCACCGCCAGATGATTCCGTTTTCCGGACTTCCGTGTCCGTTTTACCGGGTAGTGCGTCCGGTAGCTGCAGTAGGAAGAAGTTGTTTTGATTGCCGTTGTCTTTGATTGATTCGAGCAGCTCTCCAGCTTCGGGTTTTGGCGTTTCGTCTTTGACCTCGGGCTTCAGCGCCTTAAATTTGTAGTCCACTGAAATAAGCGGTTATTATTTTTTGCTGAATTAATATCGGGTACCGTAGAACCCCGTTAGTTTGAATAGCTAAATACTGATACATACAATTTTCCAATTTGACTGGCATGGTAATTTCACTGTCGAGCTTTTTCGCATCCTCCGAGGGTAGTTCGCTCTCTTCGGCGTCCCCGAAGAGATCGGAAATCCGTTTCCGCTCTTCCTCGGGATCGACTTTGATTTCGGTTCGGTAGACCGGCCTCCGGATGGCTTCTCCCGGTTCCTTCGAAGAGCTGTTGTATTTGTCGTACTTGGATCGCTGTTGCAGGGTGCGCTGGGCCAGGCCCTCGGAGAAAATGCCTGCCGTTTGAATCAACGAGCCCTTGCCCCTGCCGCCGGCCTTGGAATCTTTGTCCTTCCGTTCCGATTTGACACGTTGCTTCGGTCCGACGGAAGCGGTTTTGACATTGCTAGAACGGGGTGAGAGTGCGATTTGAAACCGGATTATTTTGATGTAGGGGAATTGAATGAAGGGCTACTTACGTGTCCTTGTTTCGAACGGCATTCAGGTTGGGTGTGTAGACTTTCTTGTTGGGGGCTGACTTGATGGTTCGACCATTGGCTAATCCACCCAGGGTAAGATCCCGTGGCACTCGGAACGACGAGAGACGCTCGGTTTTGACGGTGGCAGTGGCAGGAATTTCCGCTGCAGCTACCGCAGCTGGAACCGTAGCATTCGCCCGTTTCGATTTCAGACCCGGTTCATGCTTAATTTTGACGGTTGATTCCATGCCTGTGACTTAAGGAGAACACTATGCCAGCGGATGTATAATTTTCAGTATAAAATCGAGAAACTAGAATTAAATTGCTAAAATCTTGCAGTAAAAAGAGGAGTACACATCGAGCTCGTGCTTCCAATGTTTTGGTTCGATGACTGCATGCGCACGCATAACAAAAGTAAACAAAGTGCTGTCAAAAATTCCAGTGGATTGTACCGATTTTACCGAACTGTTCGACGGTAATTTGAAATATTTCACAGCCTAGGAACAAACAAACTGGCATCACCGCTGTCAGTCGTGGAAAAACTTGATCGGATTTTGTAAATGACGCCATCCGCATTTCTCACGAGTGTTTGGAAAAATCGGTGTTAAATCAGTGAAAATCGTAGTTAAAACTGTGATATTCATGCAAAAATCCGAGGATCTGTTTCGCTACCTTCAGTTGTTTCTGTTTCTGCTTCGCTTGGCACCGTAATTAGTATGATGCAATCGTTGTTTTTAGTTTTCCATCACACCAACAGCTGCTACCAACAGTATCAATAGGAAATTGCCCTTCCTCTTGGAAGGAAAGGGCAGAGTGAAAAAGTCGATAAAATCCATATTGTGAGTGTTAATTTTTTTGTATTTCCGGGGAAATTATCAATTTTACGAAAAACTTGAGTTTTCACTCATTTGGACTACGCTACCTGATCAAAACAAAAACAACCTAACCTCAAGTGAGCGATTCCAATTGGAATCGTCTTTACCACCTCACAGCAAGCAATGGAACACAGTTATTCTCGTGATTTCCGGCCCCCAATGGAGACCGGCCAGACGCTTGCGACGCGGGCACTGATGGTACACCGGCCTCCGCAGTGCCCGTCTTGCCATACGCACAGCCACGACGAGCGGATCGACCTGGAGGAATCTTACAACCCGCCGATTCCGTCTTACAATGAGGAAAGCGCCAAGATCGCTATGATGGAGAGCGAAAATGTAGCCCGACAGGTGCGCAACTTGAACTCCGAGGATTTCGACTGGGAAGAGAAGATCAACAAGTAAGTTTTTTGTTTGTGAGGCATTATCCTATCATTGGAAGTTATGATTAAATAAATTGTATCTTCTAGAATCGGTTGGTCCGTTCAACAGATTCGACTGTTCAGTAAGATAACCAAACTGCTGGACATGGATCGGTTGGCAAGGTTGACGATTGCCGACAAACAACACGAACCGGTCCATCGGCGCATGGTCATCGACAAGTCCGTGGGCCGTCTCCGGCAAGCTCTGGCAAGCGTTTCGTGGGATCCTCGACTGACGCAATGGATCCACGGATTGTTGGTGGATAGCTTACCTCCGACATATCTGGCAGCCTACATCGACATTCTACAAACGTTGAAAGCGAAACTGCCAAATTTGGTGGACAAAATGATTTACGGAAGGCCACTGAACATCAGCCAGGAATTGGTCGGTCCGGTTCTTAAGAAACCCTGGGAACCGATCGTTGCCCACAAGAACAGGAAGCTGCCCGGACAACCGTACATCGTAGTGGTACCTTCCGGGCCGAACATGACATCGCCGAGTACCCGTGTGCAGAAATGGTACTCACTTTTTGCCACCATGGCTTCAGTTATCCCGATTACCATGCCTCCGCAGGGCAATGCCGTGCTGAAGCAATCGATACAAAACGTATCGGAACAGATGGTGGCAGTGACACGGGCCAAGATCCAGGAAGTTCGTCAGGAAGCTCCGAACCGGCCGATTATTCTGGTGGGATTCAATACCGGTGCGGCACTCGCCATTCAGATCGGTCTGGTCGAAGCGGTCAGCTGCATTGTCTGCTTAGGATTCGCCTTCAATACGGTGAACGGAACGAGGGGTGCGCCGGATGACCACATCACAGACATCACGGCACCGGTGCTGTTTGTCATCGGACAGATGTCGGCCAGATCCAGGTAAGAATCGATTCTCGATCCACAATTGAAAAAGGCCTATCGGCTTTTTTTTATTTATTTATTTATTGTGTAATTACAAACAAAAGCTGATAGGCGCTTTTCAATTGGATGAGAATAATTCGACAGTGAGCATACATAAGAGCGTAAACGCGATGATCGATTCTCTTCGTCGATTTTCTCTTTTATTAATAATTCGCTAGATTTAACGTTTCTCGGTGAGTTTGCTGATGCTTTTTAATAGCCAATGCAACCTGTTACAACTCTGCATTGAACAAATTCTAGAAAATTGTTTCGCTTAGCTGCAGTAATGCAAAGAGAAAATCGATGAAGAGAATCGATCATCGCGTATACGCCCTTATGCATGCTTACTGTCGAGTTGTTCGAGTCTAGATAATGCATTGAGCCCAATCTCATTACAGCCAAGAGGAGATCGAATTCCTTCGGGAGCGAATGATCGCTCAAACGTCGCTGGTGGTCGTCGGATCGGCCGATGATTGCCTGCGGGTGTGCAAGTCCAAACGCAAAATCGAAGGCGTAACCCAATCGATGGTGGACAACATGGTGATGGACGAAGTGGCCGAATTTGCCACAAACTGCCTGCTGAATCCACCCCGACCAAAGCAAACCATCAAGGACCCGAACGGGCAAAAGTCAAACTTGCTGTTGTCCAACAATAGCAGCAATTTGGCGGCTACCGGAGGACCTCCACCAATTCCGGCTGTTCCAGGTGGTAGAGACGTCCCTTCTGCAGCTGCCGCTGCTACTACTGCTTATAATCGAAAGCGTAAGATGAGTCAATCCGCTGATGCTATCAACGATACCGCGAAAAATGCCAGGACCAATAGACAGCAGACCCCTTCAGCTCAGAGAAAAACTCCCAAATCGCAGAAACAGTCCCGTGCGGATAAAATGCTACTACATCAAAATCAACAAGCTCTGGATGCGGCCATTCAAAGCATTCTTCCCGCTACGGTATGTGGATCGGTTGTATTCAGTAACTTCAACAACAGCTCTACAAAATTCCCATTATTTCAGACTGCTGGGCCAATTGTTAATAAATCAGCACCAACGATGACCAACTACCAGATAACCAGCGGCAACAATCTGGAAATTCGTCATTCAACCAGCTCGCAAGTTGTGTCCGGTATGGCTAGTTCCCCCATAGTGCTCCCGATGATCAAACGAGATTTGCTAAACCAATCCCAGTCGCAGATCCAACCTGCTTCTACGGTGGCAACATCCTCCGACATCAAGGTCATCCCTGCGAACCAGTTTATTCAGCTGAAGCCATCTGGATCGACACAGAAATTCGTGACCCTAAAGTCATCGCCCAAACCAGTTGTATCGGTGATCCCGAAGCCTCCCAGCATCACTTCGACACCCAGTCCACTGGTAAAACAAACGCCCCCTCACACAACAATCACGCAGCACCAGTCGTTCAGTCCTACCAAGTTCACGATCGTCCGCAGTTCTGGTGGCGTTCCCACACCCACGGTCAGTGTACCACCGATGAAAACCATCAAATCTCCTCCCACTCCAGATCTGTCCAATACGAACATATTCGACATTCCCATCGTATTTGCCGATAACGATGGCAATATCCAGGATGGATCACCGCAAAAGTCCACCGACGTCCCGAAAACCACTCCAAACATCATAACTATCGGCCCGGCCATAACCAACACTTCCGTCATGAGAACAGAATCGATGAACCGCCTCATCACGCTCCAGCCATCAATGAAACCAAACAAAGTGGTAGTCATCAACAAGAGCAACATGAAACAAGTCCCGGCCAACGTGCTCTCATCTGCGGCTCTCAGCAAATCCACCTCTATCACCTCGACCGGTGGTCTCAAGTACGCCAAAGTGGTCATCTCCAATCCGCTTAGCAAAGCTTCAACGTCCACCACCGGCACGGTCCCTAAAACCCTCGGTCAAATCCTATCCAATCAAAAGATCGAAATCCTCAACAACACCGTCGTCAAGCCGGCAACCGGCGGCCCAACCACTCCATCTCAGCAAAGATTCCAACCCGTCATCATCAATGTAGATCCTAGCAAAACAACCACGATGAAAAACTTCGTACGCGTTGGTGAAACCCAAATCCGACCGATAATCAGCTCCAACGTGACAATTCCCACCAAGGTCGCGTCCGTCGCCGGCGGCGTCACACCGTCGGGTAGCTCCTCGGCGCAGTTGACACCCGGTGTCCCCGGAACGAACACCATTCTCATCAAGACCAATTCTCTGGCACAATTCACCAATCGGAAACCGGCCATTCTGAACCGCAACATCACGGTTCGGAAGGTTAACATTATGCCACAGTCTAGCTCAACGGCTGGCTCAGTGGCACCTTTGACGACCGTCGTGATGTCATCTGCGCCGAAGACGATTACAAGCGGTGCCGTTGTACAGCAGCATCAGCTACAGCAGAAGCCCAAGGCTCCGTAAAAGAATCTACACTGGTAGATTTGAACGTTTGATTGCGTGAAGTTTTACGATTTGTATTTGTAATAAAAGCACCTACAGAAGATAGTTTGGTAAGTAAACAAACCGTTATGTTTGCTAATTTATAACTGCCGGAGTGAACAATCCAAACAAACTTTGCAAAAACAACGTATTACTGAAATAAGATCTTTATTCAGGAACAAAACGTATGACTAGAAGTCTATAATGCAATCCTTATGGACCGTGGGACAATTATGCTCATTACGACAAGAGTACAGCATCGTTCGTGGTTCACCTCTACGGCTTCAGATCCATACTACAGTCCGGCAATGACTCTTTCAACCGTTGTTCGACCTTCGGTAGGTCCTTCACATACGGCAAATTGTGCGTGCTGAGTTGCTTAAGTTTCTTCAAGTGTCTCAAATTGAGTAATCCGTAGTCGGTGATGTTCTTGCAGTTTGAAATTTCCAACTCTTCCAGCGTACCGGCAACGAACTCGAGCTTAGCCAAGGCCTCATCCTCTAGGTATACACAATTATGCAGCTTCACCTTCTTTAGCCGTGTCAGTCCCTTTAGATGGTCGAATCCAATGTGCATGATTCCGGAATCCGTTCCGTCCAGCTCTTCCATCAACACCGGTACACTTTCGTTCGGAAGCATATTGTAGTTGATCTGCTGGTGGGGAACGTTGACAAACTTTGCTCTGGCACCATTTCGGAGAAGCCATTCGGCGCACAGACGGTCAGGACCGACCACCTTGAGTCGAGCGGTGTCCACCCGGTTGAACATCATATTGATCCATCCCCAAAAATGACGACTGGTTGTGACGGCACCGGCGGTGGGTGCTCTCGCACCAACGTTACGGAGAGATTGAAATGCAAGCATCATTCATCTGCAGAAATGGTTTTGTTAAGTATTCTGTAGCCGCTAAAGTTTCAAGAGTAGGATCTTACCAAACAAATTACGATGATGGTGAAATTGCAATGTTTTTGTGACTTATTTTGCGTTGATCTGGACTTTTATGCGTATTAAAAAAAAACATCAGCTGTTTGGCGGTGCCAGGGTTGCCAGATTTGCAAATGGAAAAGCATTTTGAAATTTCTCTGCCATGGTGTGTATAATAGGGTGGTCTCGAGTGCCAAGTCGTCATTAAGGTGATACGGCACGTCATGCAACAATGGCTGTCCCTACAATCATTAAATAATCGTGTTTTGGTATGCGTACGAAAGACATCTTCCTACAAAACAGTAAATTACTAATTAAATTACCAATTATGAATGAGATCTGGATACATATTTCAATACTTTTCCACCAAAATATTGCCAATTCATTCACGCATTGGTAATATTTGTGTGTGTGTGTGTGTATTCCCTCTAACCCCCACTGGCCGGCAGTGTTATTATGGAAGAACTCTCTCTACAATGTCGCATTTATGGTCATTGTAGACAGCTTTAGTCCGGGAGTTAGAAGGTGATAGCTCTATTGCAGATCCAGCAACCCATTTCAGAATGTCTGGAGAGTCACGCCCATTCCGAGGTTACTTTCACTCACAATAAGCCCCGCATGTATGCATCACCGTTATCAAATGGATATTGGTGATACATACACACTTCCAGGTTCGAAAATATTCTTTTCAACCCTGGCATGTATTTAGTGTACTTTTGATATTTTTTTTTTAAATAAATGGAAAGCTCTCACCATATTCTGCTCTTCCGCCGACTTTTTCTCTAACGCTTCGTATTTCATTCCGTGCTTCACCGGCAATTTCCTTCCGTAGACCGTCCTTGGTTGGTTGGTTCTAATATGATTCCGCATTTTTTGGTCGGTTTGATGTCGGTTTGAATTGCCATGGTGATCTGGGACGAGGCTCACGTCCAAATTCACTGGTCCATCGAGCGCTCCGTTTGCGAAAGGAGAATGAAAGAAATACGAAAGGGATCAGTTTCAAGAAGTGACAGTTTCATCAGATTCCCCAACTAACCATACTCAAGCAAAGTAAGAATATACAAGCTATATTGCGACTATATGGTTACTTGGGTACTCGTATGGCCGTCAGAATGGTTCATCGGTTGCGAAGTGAAGTATTTCTGAAAGTGATGTGTAATATTTCTCAATGTTTTGAATTTATCCTAACGTTACCTCAATGTTATATCACAGACAAGCAGACACAACACATTGAACATTTATAATTGTAAACCCTACCGCCATCTGTCGTATATACTTTGATGCGCAATACACTCAACAGATGGTTGTAGTGTGTAAACGTCAAACGCTAGGGAATGTGCACCACAAATGGCAGTACTACCAACTAAGAAACATTTAAATTGACCGTTAAAAACGATTTTGATGAACGTTTTAAGAGTGTTATGTCTGCTTTTCTGTGATCATACCTTCACTATCGCAACTTCGGGTAATCTGCGAAAGTACTTGCATTTTTCTCAGGCACTTTTGATCTAACTGCAATTACTCTCTCATACTCGAAATGTGCCACGACCAAATTGGCACAACGACGCCCTATACGCTCTCTGACCGAAGCGCAGGGATTCACGCATTGGTAATATTTGCATTAAAAAGTACGATCAGCCGATTTTGTTCTGCTCAGGGCATGAAATTTCAATAATTGTTTTCACTAGCTTTTAATTCTCAGAACCACACTAAAACAATTACGACACGTGCTTCTACAAGCACTTTCAAGTTAATTCACTTTTAAAGACGACATTTACTTAAATAATATCATTTGCATCGTTAAAAACGCGAGCAGCGAATAATTTTTCAAGCTGAAACCGTTTTGTTTACCTTTTTTCTACACACCGCATTACGAAGGTGTGTGTACACAGCAAAAAATGTAATATCGATCAATGTAATTCAAGCTGATGTATAAAATAATGATGTAATAACAAAAAGCAGATACAATATTACATCAATGGATGTAATTTTGTTCGCAAAATCGATGTACATCGTACAACGTTATATTAAACGCTGTACAGCCTGGAGAGTTATATCATGTTATAACGGTTGTCAAATAATTGCAACACAGAAACCACCATCAAGATAGCGCTATAACATGTTATAACTCTGTAGTCTGAACGTACTATTACACAACCGATGGATTGACCTGGTTGCAGCAGTTTGGATGTAATATTCAACAACTTTTTTTTTTCTGTGTACGAATCATCTATCATCGTATCCAGTGTTGTCGATTTAATTGAAACAAAGTGTGTATAAACAATGCTTTTATTGCTTTTTAAGGTTGTAGTAATATAATTTGAGAACCACTGTTAATTCATATCAATCCACACCAAACATAAAAATTAACAGTCATAGAAGCCAACCGCCTTAAAAATGCATAGCACACGAAATAGGAAATTATTCAATTGCAACCATACACTGATAGGCAAAATAAAGTGCCCACCCCATCATTTTTGAAATTTCTCTCATTTATTTGGTTCAAATTCAAATAAACACACCGTAGTCTGTTTCGATGTCTTACCTTTATTATTCTTTTAAAGTTACACCTATGGAATACTGAAAATATAAAGTTTTACTTGAAGTAAAAGAAAATCAATTTGGATTGAAAAAGAAAACAGTGACAAAAAAAAGTGCCCACTTCAAAAATCGGTATGTTTTCGATAAGTTTCCATCGGAAAACCCCTCGATTGTTTTTGTTTTGAAAGTTTGACATGTATTGAAGCAAACGGGTGGAACTGGTGCATTTGTACACGTGATCGCATTTGAATCAGTTGAAAAAAATGGAGGACGTAGTGATTTCGAAAGCAATTCCCGTGTGTATCCGAAAATTGGTTGTTCGTGATGTGCAAAACGGTGAATCGCACCGGTCTGTCGCTAGGAAGTACAATATCAGCAAAACAGCGGTCGGGAAAATTCTGCAGAAAATGAAATCGTTCGGATCAGTGGTGGATCGCCCTGGCAGAGGCAGGATGCGCAAAACGGATGCGAGAACGGACACCAAGATCATGCGTGAAGTGAAGAAGAACCCGAAGGTAACTGTCCGCGAGATCCAGGAGGCTCTTCAGCTAACAGTTTCCAGTCGAACTGTTCGTCGCCGTCTCGTAGCACAGGGGTTGAACAGCAAAGTTGCTCGGAAGCGCCCATTTATCAGCAAGGCAAACAAAGTCAAACGGCTTAAGTTTGCTAAGGAGCATGCTGATAAGCCCCTAGAGTTCTGGAAACCGGTTCTCTGGACGGACGAATCAAAATTCGAACTGTTCAACCGGAAGCGACGGGTTCGTGTGTGGTGTAGATCGGGTGAGGAGCTTCAGGAGCGCCACATACAAGGCACGGTGAAGCATGGAGGAGGAAATGTGATGGTCTGGGGGTGCTTTTCGTGGGGTGGAGTGGGAAGCCTGGTGAAAATCGACGGGATAATGACGGCAGATTCCTACATCGACATCCTGCGGGAAAATCTGGAAGTTTCGCTGATCCAGACGGGCCTTGAGGAGAAATTCGTATTCCAGCAGGACAACGATCCGAAGCATACTGCCAAGAAGACTAAGTCTTTCTTCCGGTCATGTCGAATTAAACCACTGGAATGGCCTCCACAAAGCCCGGACCTCAACCCCATCGAGAATTTGTGGGCGATTCTCGATGCCAGGGTTGACAAAACTGGTGTTACCAATAAAAATAACTATTTTGAAGCCCTGGAGCGCGCCTGGGAAGAACTAGATCCACAGCACCTGAAGAATCTAGTGGAGAGCATGCCGAAGCGCCTGCAGCTGGTCCTGAAGGCCAAAGGAGGACACATTAACTATTAGGCTGGTATTCTTTTACTTTATTTTATGTTTTCTGGAGTTAAAATGCAGTGGGCACTTTTTTTTGTCACTGTTCTTTTTTACACCCATTTTGATTTTTTTTTCTTCGAGTCAGTCTCTTCTTTTTATCTGGTATTCTATAAGTGAAACTTAAAAAGAATATAAAGAATAAGATATAAAAAATACTACAGTGTATTTACTTTAATTTGAACCAAATAAATGAGAGAAATTCAAAAAATGATGGGGTGGGCACTTTATTTTGCCTATCAGTGTATGTGTCAAAGGCAACATCATACACCGATAAGCGTTTCTTTTCCTTCTCTCCTTTCCACCCCGTGAGGGGCCGTACCGAAGAGCCCTCGATCGAGTGGCATCAAATTGCATAGCTCCCCGCATAAACAATAACCATAAGATGCGCCTAACCACCAATTCGGGATATCATCCCAATTTTATGTGGTATGGTTGCACCATCTAAGATATCGTCAGTATATGGTACACGTTTATTAGGGTCAATAATTCCAACAGTCCACCAAAATGCTGACGCAGCAGTCAAGAACAGTCTTGTAAGCCGTCACGGTAGTCGAAACATTTTCGGTGATAATTGACTGCCTTTGTCTCCGACACTTGCAAAACAAGCTATCATAATACAGTACCAAACTAAAATGTCTTATGACAGGCTCTGTCATACGACACTGTCGCCGAAGACCGTCAAGAGCTGCTGATGATGTGCTTGTGTGAATTCTGAAAATAGCAAGCAATGATGTCCTAGTAATAATATTTCTGATCAGAAATGGTTTGATTTACACCAAATTGAGGAATTACAACGAAATCACACATGTCATATGATAGCTATTTTGATAATTTTCTTTTAGCTCGAATGTTATTCTACCACTCGTGTTGAGTGAGAGAGACAACGGTAGAGCATGAGTGTTCGAATACAAACAGACTGTCGCGCACGACAACGAAGCGAGGGTAGTAAAAAACGTCAACTGTTTCAACCCCTGGTCAAGAACCTTTTTGCCTGTCGGCACTCCAGTCGTCTCGCTTACCCATATGCAAACCATAGATTAAGAATTATTGTAAAACCATATATAAAAGAATGACTTTTGTGAATAAAACAATCTTTTGACCGAGAGCCAACTTGGGTAGTCGCTTGGTCCGAACTGGAGGTTACTCCTAAGAGCCCCCCTAATAAAAATTGTA